GAATGATGAAATGCAGCTGACATTTAGTAATGAAGAGACCACATGCTATGCTCCTCTGGTTCAGCAGCTGTCAGTAGGCAAGCCTTTCTAGGACAAGAGAACTTCTGAAAACAGGTTCAAGAAGCATAGAGAGGGGAAAAACTCAGGAAACTGACCCTTGTTGGAAGTGATGAGAAGATTCCAGGGAACTTTGGATAGAGGATGTAATTTTCTGAATTTCTGCTCCAACCTGGACATGATTTATGATGGTAGCATCTTCATTTTCTCATTCTGCTACTAAATGAGCAATAGGATTTCTCTTGCTACTGGAGATCACTATTCAGCTTAGTTGGGAGATTTGTTTTTTCTCCATGTTAGTTGTGTGGGAAACAGAAATCTTCAAACAGTTTTTAGCCTGACCAAAGACATGCAAAGTGAAGGGGCTGAAGTGAGGTGGATTCTGAACAGAAGCAAGCAAATATTTCAAGTAAAGACAGTYAATTAATTAGGGGAACAATTTGCAAAGACGAGCAGTCACTCTGTTATTGWCGGTTCAGGAATAGAGCTTAGAGGSAAAAAAGTCCAAAGAAACCCTTCACTCCTAAGAGGAATTAATTCAGGGATGCTGAAGGTCAAAACAGATAATCTCAGKGGTCCCACCTGAACAGAACTGAGTATGTCTTTGAAATATTTTTCCAGAGCAGTCTGGAAGTGTATCCTCCTGTTACCTGTTGCAAATCAGTATAAAGAAATGAAAACTAGGACAGAAAGAATACTTTAGCTACAGTAGGCTTTCTTTATAAATCAGGTTACTGWTTAAGTGATTAGCTCATTTTAGCAGTTTTATATATCACAATGGACATCCTATTTTTGCTGCTTTTTAATCCTAATAAAGATACCAGCTCTGAATACMAGGATAAAATTGAGATGCCTCTGGGGATTTTTTTCCTGTCTTAGTTTTGTGAATAGAAATATAGATTAACAATAAAACCAAACCCAGAGAAATTATGTTCAGAAAAGAATTATCTTGCTAAAAATATGGGAGGCAAACATTGGAYTATAATAGCAGACCATTAACTCTATCAGAGTTTTCTCACTGCACTTAAAGATAGATTAGAATCATATTACATAAAGAYTTTCCTCTGAAACTTAACAGTGGAGATATGTTTTGAAGGTGTATTTTCCAGTGTCTTCTGGTGTGCTGAAAGGTATTAAACCAAAAATATTTTGATGCTGAAGCAGTCTGTCCTGTAAGACTACAAATGCTTTCTCAAAGTGGTATATGAATAGCCACAAACCAACCTTTTCTGAACATAGTACTTCTGGCAATAGGAATGATTTTTTTCAGGTTCCTTTCAGTCGCATCAGACTCGATACCTTGATAGCAGCAAGATACAAGATTAAGATTTTCAAAGAGTATGATCCACCTCCATGTTTTTATCAAAKGAGCATATGTTTTTGTCCACTGGGCTCTTGGCAGGACAGGCTAGTGAGGAAGTGAGAACTGACGCTGCTCCTTGTGCCGTGTTCCCTTGTTCTGTGTTTCCTGTGGCCGAATGCTGAGAGCTTTTAGGGCTCCGAGTAAGCACAGATGCGAGTTGCAGGCAGGATTGTGAGGCTGACGCACTTCTGCGGCACAGATCCAGTTGTAGACAGAGACAAAGGTCCTGTGGTTTTCTTGGGGAATAATCAGCTGGCTTCTGTTGTGGCAGATGCTCTGAGCATCCATCTTAAACAACAAGGCATAATTTAATAGGATTTTAAATGCAACTAATGCTCTTGTTTCAGTTTATAGGCCTGAATCAAATCAATTGGGGGAGGAAAAAATGCTACTTTTTTGTTTGAAATTTTCAGGCTATTTTGTTTAAATGTATGCAGCTGTAGATCCACAGCTGATAACTCATACAGATGTCATGTGGAGAATTGTAAGGCTTATGGCTAAAAAAAATATCAAGACAACCCCAATTTACTTCACTTCAACATCTTAATTAGTTTTATAAAAATAAAATGAAGCATTAGGAAATTTGTGTTTGTGGGAGAATTCTCATGGTGTGAACTGTAAAATAACAGGGTTCTGACTAAATCTAAGTTGCTCAGTGTACAGGCTKCTGGGAGACAGCAGATGAAAATGGGTCCATGTGGATACATCTCTACTGGTGCATGTCCATGCCCTGAGAATGGAGCGCTCTGGTACTCTGAACTGTTTGAAGAATGGTTGCTGGCACAGAGAGCTTTGGCCATGGTTAACTTGTCTCACAAACAGCTCATGGCCATGATTTAGATGTTAAAGCATGGCAGGGATCATTCCCGTATAAAGTTTACAGGCAGCCTCTCTGAGAGGCTACAGGTTTMATAGCTTTGCCAGAGGATGTCAATTGGCCTTGGGGCCAGAGGGCTGGCCCAGCCACTCTGGAGTTTGGTCATTGCTCTGACCAATGGAGAAAGGATTTCATGTTAGTTTTAGCAGCACTTTAMTATAAGGAAATTACCTCTTCCCAATATAATTTTAGACATCTGTGAGGAGCCATTTTAATCTTGATTTGTCTCAACAATGTTTGTTAGAGGCATGTGTGGGAGGGAGAGTGGCTTGCAGGATGCAGCCCGGAGATGGAGGAAGCCTTGTCTCTGGGGGGACTTCACCTGGCAACACCTCCCATGGGACAGGCAGTCAGCAGAGAGGCTCCCCAGTCAGATGGTGGAAGGTCTACACCAATGCACTGCAGGGGAAGGTTGGACTGGCCCAATGGTCTCCTGGTCAGCAGGCGGACTTTGGGAGGGGGCAGGGGTTAAAAGCTAACTGCATCATGAGCTTTGGGGCTTGCTCGCTGATACGTTCATTCCTTGCCCTGGCCCCAGCCTGCTTTTTGCCCTAATTTCGTTCCTGACCATCTATTTCTGAAGAGCTCCTCGCAGTTCCCCAGACTGGAACTGGAACAGGTGGCAGCAGTGGGATGGCTTGAAAGAAACATTGTATCTGAACCATTTAGACTGTGTTTTGGGGAGAGGTTTCATTTGGGCACTAAAGAAAAAAAGATGTGACTCTCCCTGAAACTTGGTGCCCACAACAGACCTAAGATGTGTCCTCTCAGGAAGTGTTCTATCTCTCGGGCAATTTGGTACTCGTTACAAGTGTGGCCCTTTCTGAGATGCATTTTGCCACCTTATCTGTAACTGCTCTGGTAATTTAAGCTGGGCCCTCTCTGACAGGGTTTTCCTTGGGGCAGTTTGAGACTTTTTAGGGTGAAGTGGCTTTTCTGAAAAGCACTTTGCCCCCTGCTGYCCATTTCCCCCACAACAGCTCTGGGGATATTGCGATAGTTGACAGCCAGCCYGAGATTTCCTGTGAGAGTTGGAGGGGTGAGGGGCAGTTTTCTCTCTCTTCCAGTGGAGGATTGGGTTCCGGGAGGTGCCCACTGTGATCGCCCTCTTGAGAGATGCAGTTGCTGCTTAGTTTTTTGTCCATTTTTTCCTCCCTRTTTCYYTYSSGCACYGKGACTGGAGCTTACTGGCTTGCTTTCCCTGCTTCTTGGGAGCCCAGAGCTATTGCCTGCTGCGCGGAGACCCGGGAACACACCGTTTCCCACCAGGGGGCCACACTATGTATTTGTAGTTTCTAATCATGGCTGCCTTTTTATTTCAAGGAAATAAGGATTCCATCAGTATTGCCTCCAAAATTAAATATTTTTATGATGCATTTAGGTATCTAGACTGGGTTGTGTGACAGAAACAACTAGCACGTGGATTTTGAAAATCAGAGGATTTTCAAATARTATCTAGGTCATATGATACCCACAGGCATGATTCACCCACCTGGGCTTTAAGCCAGCCAGTAGCTGCATGGGTATGACACTCCAGGAATACTGTAAAATTATTAAAGCTGGATTGTTTTTTCAAATAACACTGTGATGATAGCTGTAAAAAATACTGCACGTAATTTATAGTTCCTTTCTGAACATATTAAGTTCATTAGATTGATGCAAAAAGTACAGTACAGACTGAAACGAATTCAGAGCAGACTTAGCTGAATGAGTCCAGGTGACTTTCCTTGGCCTGACAGACTTTCATTTCAAAGGCTGCTCTCTTGATATAAAGTCCTATTTGAGGCAGAAGTTGTCTTTTCGTGAGTGTATCTGCTTGAAGCCCAGCTAGCTCTTAAGGGCTGATCTTARTATCATAGAATCAYARAATTGTTAAGATTGGCAAAAACCTCTAAGATCAYTGAGTCCAACCAATCTTAGCTACAATGAGCTAAAACCTGCCTCTGTTAGGCTTTTGTATAAAGATGATAATCTCTTTGAGGGGCAGAAACCCCATATTTAATACAAACCTCATGCTTTTTTTTTTTTTTTTTTCTTTTTTGCAGTGAAGATAATTTTCAAGAAATGACATCATGCTTACTTTTAGTAATGTGTATTATGGAAACAGACACTCTTAGCTAAATATTCAACAAGTCTTGCTCAGAAAACTCTTGAGCTGCATTTCAAAAAATGTRTAGGTGTCTAGGAAAACAAAAATGTGTAGCTGCGGTGGGTTTTTTTCAGAGGTACTGGCATGTTTATCTCAATGAACMCTTTTAGGAGTAAATTATTCTGGGACTTGCCAGGTTGTTTACATTGCATTTTTAGGTGCCTGTATAGTTTAAAAATGTAGCCCCTAATGACTYTGAAAATCAGCTGCCTCTTTTAACTTCTACTTCTGAAGAGACCCTTACCGACTGCTTTTTAAAAACATCTTTAGATAGTAAAGGCTGAAATTATCACAGCTGAATAAAACAGATGGCCTTGTAGAACTGAGATGAAGAAATATAAGCTTTGCCAACATGTAAAGAAACAGTAGTGCTTAACTTACATGAACTTAAAACTGAAAAAAGTATTTCTTCCTTTGTCTTTCTGAGATTGTGACTTCCCATCCTATGAAAGTGGGATGAGAGGGAGGAATGTTCTCAGATTTGTAAACATGTCTGTGGTATAAAGGACTTGCTCTAACTATTTTTTTTTTTTAATTTTCCTTCTTTCATCTAGATAAAGAAGAGGCAACAAGATGTGGTGAGGTTTCTGGAAGCCAATCGYATAGAGTTTGAAGAAGTGGATATCACCATGTCAGAGGAGAAGAGACAATGGATGTATAAAAATATTCCTGAGGATAGGCAGCCTGCACAAGGCAATCCACTGCCACCACAGATATTCAGTGATGATCGGTACTGTGGAGTAAGTAGCTGTTACRGTTCCCAGTGGACAATGTATTGACACACTCAGCTGGGCATTAAAAATGGGACTTGCTGTTGAGCTTTCTCTAGTAGAATCTGAATTAATGGGGCGATAGGATCAGGTAATGACCATACAGAGAAAATTCAGGTTGTTCTTCTGTAAATTCTAGGGCTGTCAAGGGGATTCCTTTCAGGAATGTATAAATTGGTAATGTCACATGCTTCATGTACAACCTGGTGATGGTGAAGTGCCTTGTGAGACCACTGTARGCTGGGGATTTGTGATATTCTTGCTGCTAGAGTCTAGTCCATGCACAAAAATTCAGAAGGAAGTCTTTGCACAGTAAATGAGAACACTGGCTAGATTGAGTTTTATTGTTATTGTAATTAAGCTCCTCTGCTGYTGTCAGAGTGTAAATTTTGTTTATGCTCAGAGCATCTTTATGCAATYGGAGTGTTTAGGATAAGTCAGCACTGTTTGCTGTAAATCTGACAGCAGGTTGATGGGCAGGCTGTTTTTTTTGGTGTAAGCTTCTCCATCCACCAGTGCAAGCTGAAACAGTAGCCTTGATATGTACATCCAAACTGGTGCTTAGTCCCTGCCAGATTCAACATTGCTSTTCAGATCTGATGAGTGCCTGTTGACTGCAGTGCAATTGTTAGCTTAATGCAGGAAGCACATAAAAAGTGATTTAGGATCCTCTGCAACAAACAGATTGGCTATGATGCAGCAGCTAACTGGCTTCTTGAAGGGACATATTTAACATCCTTCCCATGTGCTTTGTATTGGCCTTACTTGTTTACCTCAGCAGTATAACTCTTATCTTCTTACATCCAGGTAAGGTAAGTCAATCAAAGAAATGTATCTGGGACGTGGAGGGGATTTTGGCCCTCACTTATGGATAAGCCCCTCACTTACAAATAACAACCTTTACATTGTTCTGTGTGATTTTAGTTTTCCTGGGAAATACAACATTTTAAGCTGTTGTTTCTTACCCATTCAAAATGCATTTATAGTGTTTTAACCTAGTCTTAGAAATTGCTGCTTGGAATTAGCAAGGCAGAAGATGTCATGCAACATGTGAGATGATCTCATTAATCTGTCTACTAAGCTGCTAGCCATTTTGGTTGAGCAGAGTTAATCCTATTACTAGACTTCAATGTCTGCATGAACATCTTTAAAGAGCAAACATGCTTTGAAAGAAACTATATTTTCTAGGATGAAGGAGAAAGTGTGTGCAGGATCTCAATCATTCCCGAATTAACCTGCTGCATTAATGACGTTCTTAGATACTTAGAGTGGAGGCAAAACATTATACAGAAGGAAAAGGAGGTCAGTGCTGGAAAGGGGAGTAGAATATTGCAATTAGATAAAGTGACCAAACCTTGCACATCTTGTTTCTCTTTGTCATTTCCACAGTAAGTGATTTTATGTGTTTATCTTGACATAAATAACTAAAGCATAAACCCTATTAAGTAACTTAAATTGAAAAAATAGTGAGTTTTCTGTTAGTTGAGTTAGGGAAATTAGTAGCTTATAATTTCTGATTTTTGTCCAGGCAATTTTTAATTCAGTTTTCTCTGTTTAAAAACTGTTTTTCTGCATTCTGCAGTCTTATCAGGAGACTTTCTGTGTACTTATTCTGGCTTATGCATTGTTKCTGGCAATTCACACTTCTTTACGATACAAACTAATCAGGTCCATTGATTTTCCTCTAAAGGTGTTAGGGTTAGACAATGTAAAGCAAAATWGAAACACTTTTAATTTTTGTCATCTTATTGCAATAGAAGTTCACAAGCCTGTGATGTCCATGACTCAATGTTATGTTCATAGCTATACTGTTTTTTCTGTGTTAATATTAGCATTAATAGTTTTGGAATCTTTTTTCTCCCAATTTTCTCCCTGGTAGAAAACCTCAGCAATGCACATAAGGGGTTTGTCTCAGACTAGATTTTCCTGGCTAGGACACCACCATTTGAAGTAATCACTTTTCAGGATGTAACTGCAGGTTAGAGGAAGTTTGTCTTTAATGGTTTCAGTAAGTATCCAAAATGGGTTTGTGTCAACCATTTGAACATCTGACAGCTGATATAAGAGGGAAGAAAGGTACAAAAASATGATCAATGTTTACTGATTCACAGAGTGTCTTGTACCACAGGGGGAGGGATTGTTCTGGTACCAAGAGACAAACTCCATATTTTGAAGTGTGAGCAAGACCTTGTGGTTTTCCTGAGTTGATGTCATTGCAGATACAATCATTAATCATTAATCTGTCTTCTCCTYTTCTCAGTCCTCTGAGATGCACTCCTCATTTTTCAGTAACAAGTCATGCTAAGAGATTTTGAAATAAAGTACTTGGCAAGAACAATTTTTATTTCCTGCGAACAAGATAAGAGCTGCAAGCACACAAGAACACAAATAATTTTACTGATAATCAAGTGCTATGTTACAGCACCAACAATATGATAATTTGCATATTTTTATGACTTCACAGTCTATTGTTTCATCTTAGTGAAATTGCTATAAAATTTTGTGTGAGAAGAGAGTCTACATTTCAAATAAATCAGAGCCATGAACCTGCTTTTCARATTTGCAGTTATGTAAATCTGAAATTAGTATAGTCATCTTGCTCTGGTTACTGTTGTGTAAGAGGGAGATGTTAGTGCCTAGTGCATGTTTCTGGAGAAAACTCATGCACTTTGCATAAAGAAGAGTAAAGTGGGGTTAATTTGGAGGAGTCTTAGTAGGATCTGGTATGTTGTGTTGGGTTGTTGGGTGTTGGAATCAGTTTTATCTTGCCCAGTTCCTTACAGCGCTCATCTTCAGTTAGTTTTATTGGCTCCTGCTGTGGTACTTCGACCTACAGCTATGAAAYACAGCTCAAATTGTGGATTATTTTCCCCTAAGAAAATAATCCCACGCCGTTTTTTCCAGCCACTGTTCCCCACAGCACAGGGGCTTTACCCAGCTGACTTGCCTGGTCGTGCTTCCTGTTCCACATTCATGGATAACCTGTTYGGTGACTTCAGTGGTCAGGCCCACCCTTGGGCGTGAGCCCATCTCTACATYGCATCTCTTCCTAGGTGTTCTGATATGTCGTGGGCCCCCTGAGCTGTGGTCAGCTTGCCTYTACATTCTCAATCCAGGTCTACTGTAGCCATTTCAGTTCTGGCAGCTTGAYCTACCTGTTCCTTGTTTCCATGTTSTTCAGTGACATGGCTYTTGGGTATGTGAGTATCGACATAACATCCTTTTAGAACAAGGTTCTCTATCTGGGCAGCAGTGTCCTGCAGCAGCCAAGATCTTTAAGCAGAAAGCCAGAAATGCTGGAAAACTGAATGTTTGAAATTASGCCTGTGCCTCACACCTCTCTCTTCTTGAATTCTCCACAGCTGAATACACAACTTTCAGAAGTTTCARTCTTTCAGAAGACTGGAAACGTCCATTTCCCAGTGAAAGTGTGATCTTGAGAGCTGCAAGTTAACACTTTGAACAGTGATAGTTTTATATGCAGAAATCTGCCACTAAAGGGAGATTGCCTGAAATTTAGGCCAGCCAAAATTAAAAGGAAATCTATCTCCAAGYGGGAATTTGAGCCAAAGGAAAAATATTTACATAGCAGGCTGACTCTTTTCTTTCCTTTGAAGCTGCTCATGTGGTTTAGAGTGTTATTGTAAGTACTGATAGAGTGCCTAGTGGGCAGCAGTAGAGAGAGAGATATGTGATATTTATCGTCCTTCCCTGAAATGTAATATATGGGTGTCAACTCCAACAAAACAGCAAAGGTGTATAGACAGGAAAGAAATAAAATAGGCTGCTGAAAGAGATGCAGTGTTCTTTAGTGCACAGGCAATTGTAGCACTGATTTCTTTGCTGTTATCTATCACACTGTTATGTATCATTCTCTTCTTGTTTTTTTTTTTAAGATCATGGAAAGATGCGTGCATGTTTCTTTTTCTTCCTTTTTTATAGGTGTCGAATTACAAATAAGTAACTGCTCACTGATAAAAGAAGGAAGAGAATTTAACAAAACTGGCTGGAGGCCATCTCAGAGTTTCTGCCCTGGCCTGTCACTGGGGAGTTTGATATTATTCTTGTATCTACAGCTACAGAGAGCTTGAACTCTGTCTCTAGATCCTCAATGTGACAGAATTCACCTTAGCATGTCTGCTAGAGCAGTAGTGAGGCTAATTTGGTATTCAGAAAGTCTACATTTGATTCTCTTTACCCTTTGGAGTTGTCTTACCTGATTCACATGGCATCTTGTTGATCCAGGTGTACTTTTAGGAAAGGGATAATCTTKCTAGATAGAAGTTAATGTGAATTGTTCAGAGATCATGTAACAACTGTTAATTGATTGATGATGCTAATTCTTTCTTGACTAATTATTTTTATCATCAGAATCAGAGTTTCCTGTATGGCCAATTTAGGCTSTTTGTATGCAATTGTTCTTAATTACATTTTGCACTTGTATTGTAGCAGGTTTTGACTCACRGGTATGCACAAACCCTAGGTTGAATGTGCCTTGAGGCCATTGACATGCACTGTTCATCTTCCTGATTAAGGCCTTGTCTCAGAGCTGGTTTTAGAAAGCAACCCCTGCCCATGAGTCTTCTCCATGTTGGGAAGATACTGTTCAGATCATTGAAAAAGTCTGGTTATAACTTTCAGACTATGCCTATGCTTTTGCCATCCACTTCTCCATTGCTTTTCTGTGTCCTGGGAAAAAGAGCTTCAGTTCCATGTTAATTGTACTTTATAAARGGGAATGTGGTACCAGAAGCAACGTGTAGAATAGCCTTGCCCAGTGTCAGGGCTTAAAAAATAGAATCTCAGGAACTAAGTAAAAATAAAATAATCCAAGTATTTTATCTTCCTCAGAGAAGTCAGGACTCATGTCAGTAATGTGTTATAGTGCTGCTGTTTACCCTGTAGAGGAGAGAGTACATTCCTATGGAGCAACATTGTTTTTGTTTGAACTAAATATGCTTCATTAATAG